AATTCTATCGTTGGTGGGGTTCAGAAAGCTCTTTGATTGTAGGTGAACTATAAATCTCAGCAACTACAACTCCCAAATGTCAAGGTCTATTTTCCCCAAACTCCACCAGTGTTCACATTTTGGCATATTGAAAATTTGTGTCAAAGATTCATCATTGTTTGAGTCCACAGTGCTCTCTAGAATGTAGGTGAACTACAACTCCAAAACGAAAGGACACTGCCCACCAAACCCTTCCAGTATTTTCAGTTGGTCATGGGAGAAATGTGTGCCAAGTTTGGTTCAATTCCATCGTTGGTGGGGTTCAAAATGCTCTGTGATTGTAGTTGAACTATAAATCCCAGCAACTACAACTCCCAAATGACAAAATCATTTTTTTGTGTGAAGGACATACATTGGGTTGTTAGGTGTCTTGTGTCCAAAATTGGTGTCAATTCGTCCAGTGGTTTTTGAGTTCTGTTAATCCCACAAACGAACATTACATTTTTATTTATATAGAAGTGTGGGTTTTTGTTTTTGTTTTTTTTGGGGGGGGGGGTTGCACTGCAAATAATATATGTGCAGAGTGCATAGGAATTCATTCTTTTTTTCCCTTCAGATTATAATCCGGCCCTCCAACAGTTTGCGGGACTGCGACCCGGCCCTCTGTTCAAAAAGTTTGGGGACCCTTGCTCCAGAGCATCTGAAAACAAGCCTGTCTTCTCCTCAATGGGACAGCCCTTCAAAAATTTTAACTTACTTAGACGATCCCTCATAGTCCGAGGATGGTGGTCCTCCAAGTGTAGAATCCCGACGGTGGGTCCGTAGGTGACTGTGGAGCCCTATTCTTGATCTGCATGTTCTCCCACAGTGAGGGCATCGGTTTCCAGGTGGAAGGCAGTCCTGATCGGGGTTGGCTTGACGTGCCTTCCTCTTGGCACATTTCTCTCTTTCGCCCTCCATTCGTGCCTCTTCAAATTCTGCAACACTGCTGGTCACAGCTGACCTCCAGCTGGAGCACTCAAGGGCCAGGGCTTCCCTGTTCTCAGTGTCTATGTGAGTTTTTAAGGTTGGCTTTGAGCCCATCTTTTATTCTCTTTTCCTGTCCACCATATCAAGGAGGAAATCCCACAATATCTGCTTTGAACCGGGTTATCTGAGTCCACACTGCCATATACTCCAGCTCAAAGCAGAAAACGTGGGATTTTATCCCGCTGTGTGGAAAGGGCCTGTGTTTCCCTGGAATGGCAGAATAGGGTTGGACTGGATAACCTTTTGAATCCCTTCCATTTGTGTGATTTATTTTGGTCCCTGCCCTGAACAGCAGCTGCAGCGGAGGGGGTAGAACTGTGTGCCGGAACCTTTGTTTCCGGCTTCCGTTTCCTGGCTGCTGCGGGGAGGGATTTCAGGGGAGGACAGAGCTGGATTGTAAACAGAGGAGAAGGATGCGGTGGAGGTCCTTGAGGCAAGCGGGGCCCTGAGGCCAAAGCAAGGCCTCTTGCGGGGGGAATGCGGCTCCTTTGGCGTGGGTGGAGCTCCTCCGAGCCAGGTAACCCTCCCTCGCTTTGTAAGGCTTGCCATTGCCATACGTGTGCCTTAAAGTCGGCAGAAATGTCTGGAAATGATGCACCAAACCATCCCTTCTTCAGTCGTGGTAGCTGTCAGTGTTTATATGTCTCCTATTGCCACCCTTTCGCTTTAATGTCTCATCGAGGGAACATACACTTCCTATTTCTTCCATTTTTTCTACATAGGGACTTTTATAATATCAAATGTTTTGCCTTTTTCTGTTTGGCTGGAGGAGTTCAACCCTTCCCCTGCCCATTATGCAAGATAGAGCCCCATCCACACAGCAGAACAAATTCCACATTGAACTAGATGATATGGCAGTGTGGATTCGGATAACCCCGATCAAAGCAGATATTGTAGATTATCTGCCTTGATATTCTGGGTTATATGGCTGTGTGGAAGGGCCCTTGGTCACCCTCTGCCTTGTGCCTCTTTCACAGCCACTGGAGAAGCAGGCCCTTCAAAATGGGTTAATTATCAAGTTGTGTGTCATAGCTGGGCATGTGCATGGACAAAGGGTTTCTTTTTACCTCTTTATTTTTGTTTGCTCTCCCATCCATGAGGAATAGACTCATACTGTTGAAAGAAACCACGTGTGTCATCTAGTCCAACGGAGCCCCCGGTGGTGCAGTGGGTTAAACCCCTGTGCCAGCAGGACTGAAGACTGACAGGTCGCAGGCTGGAATCTGGGGAGAGGCGGATGAGCTCCCTCTATCAGCTCCAGTTCCTCTTACGGGGACATGAGAGAAGCCTCCCACAAGGATGATAAAAACATCAAATCATCCGGGCGTCCCCTGGGCAACGTCCTTGCAGACGGCCAATTCTCTCACACCAGAAGCGACTTGCAGTTTCTCAAGTCGCTCCTGACATGACAAAAAAAAAAATCTAGTCCAACACCCTGCCATACAGGAAAAGCACCATGTGTTGTCCAAAGCTTTCATGTCCCAAATCACTGGGTTGTTGTGAGTTTTTCAGACGGTATAGCCATGTACCAGTAGCATTCCCTTCTGATGTTTTGCCTGAATCTGTGGCAAGCATCCTCAAAGGTCTGTTGGAAATTAGGCAAGTGGGGTGTATATATATATCTATGAAGTGTCCAGGGTGGGAGATAGAACCCTTGTCTGTTTGAAGCAAGTGTGAGTGTTAGCAAGCTTGATTAGCATTGAGTAGCCTTGCAGCTGCACTGTCTATATATTTATTTATTTTATTATTTATTTACAGTATTTATATTCCGCCCTTCTCACCCGGCAGGGGACTCAGGGCGGATTACAGTGTACACATATATGGCAAACATTCAATGCCAAAGACACACAACACATATAGACAGACAGTCAGAGGCTATTTAACTTTTCTGGCCGCCAGGGGAGCTGTCACTTTCATCGTCCATCTGTGACACTGATGAAGTACTTCCGCATTCCCCGCATGCTTTGCTGGAGTCTTTTTTATGGCCTCGTAAATTAGTTAAATTAGCCTCCCCACACATAGGTGGTACCTAATTTTCCTACTTGACAGATGCAACTGTCTTTCGGGTTGCAAAGGTTGACAACAAGCTACACAATTGGTTGGAAACTCACTCCGACCTGGGCTGGCTTCGAACTCATGACCTTGTGGTCCGAAGTGATCTTAATGCAGCTGACACTCAGACAGCTGCACCACAGTCCCAAGTATTTGCATAGAGGTAGCCTTGCTGTTGTGCCTGGATGCATCCTTTGTTTGGGTGGGTGGGTGTTAACTGGTACTTGGTTGTTTGCTGTCTGGAACTCCCTATTTGAATAGTGTTCTTTACTTATTGTCTTTGATTCTGGTGTTTTTTAATACTGGTAACCATATGCCATGTAGCTGTGGATAAGTCTACATAGGGACCACCAAATGCAGCACCCAAACGTATCAAGGAACATGAAAGGCACTGCAGACTACTTCAACCAGAGAAATCAGCCATAGCAGAGCACCTGATGAACCAACCTGGACACAGCATTATTTGAGAACACAGAAATGCTGGACCACTCTAACAACCACCATGTCAGACTACACAGAGAAGGCATTGAAATCCACAAGCATTTCAACAGAAAGGAGGAAACCATGAAAATGCATAAAAAATGGTTCAAGTTGTTTCTGACTTACTGATGATCCGAAGTTGGACCTATCATTGGATTTTCTGGGCAAGATATGTTCAGAGGGGCTTGCCTCTGTGGTAGAAAGTGTATGACTCACCTCAAGTCACCCAGGCCCCATCTACACCAGATTATCTGCTGTGAACTTTTCTTTGTTTTCTGAAATTCTCTCCAAACCCATTTCCGTTTTCTTCCTATCCATATCTCATCAAACCTCTTTTTTCCCAATCTATATATCTCCAAACCCCTTTTCTGTTTTCTTCCTATTGATCGCTCCAGAAGCCTTTTCTTCTTATCCATACCTCTCCAAACCCCTTTTACTTTTTCTTCCTATTGATCTGTCCACACCCTTTTCTTTTTCTTCCACTTTAAATCCGGTTGCTGCCTCCTGCAGAATTCTGGTGTTTGTAGTTTAGTGAAGCCCAGGACCTCTCTGGTTGTGCAGTTTAAAAGTTCCTTCCTAAACTATAAACCCCAGAATTCTGCAGAAGACAGCAACTCAATTTAAAGTGGATAGATGTTCTTGAGCAGTAGTTCTCAACTTGTGGGTGCCCAGATGTTTTGGCCTTCAACTCCCAGAAATCCTAACAGCTGGTAAACTGGATGGGATTTTTTGGTATAGGCCAAAACACCTGTGGACCCACAGGTTGAAAACCACTGGTCTAGAGTGATGAGGTCCATTATCTCCTTTGTCTTATATTTCTCCACCTCTCCTCATCTTTCCTTCATATCTGACACCGCTTTTAATTGCCCTGGCTCAATGCTATGCAATGCTGGGATTTATAGTTTGATGAGGCAGTAGCATTATTTGACAGAGAAGGCTAAAAACCTTGTAAAACTACAGCTCCCAGTAGTCCATAGCAATGAAATTAAAGTGATATCAAGCTGCATTCATTCCACAGCATAAATACACTCCAAGGAACCTGGGGCAGAATAAACAGGAGAGGTTCCTGGTGGTAAGGATTATCTATTTCTATGGTTTTCCTTTCCATTGCTTGGAAGTTCTGTTTTTTTGTAAGGATTTTAATCACACAGGAACTATAATGTGCCCAAATATAAAAGTGCACTTTTTGATGGACCTGTTCTGACTTAGAAACAAATTCAAATTAAGAATGAATCTACAGCCCCTATCCTGTTTGTAACTTGGGGACTGTCTGCAGATTGACTTTGCTTAGTGTGGATGTAAGCTAACTTTATCTCAATGCCAATAGAAATTGAATTTCCCGTAACAAAAGTGTAAAAAGAGATAGATGGTAGCTCCATTCATCATTTAGTAATGCTTTCTAAAATAGCTGATGACAGAATTCCCTCCAAGACTGTGTTGGAACAGAGGGATTAAATGCATGAGTCAGCAGTCAACGTAAAAAGATTTTGGGCTAGAGACTATTGTAGAAATATTTACAAAATTGCAGTAGACTATTTCAATGCTATGTTTCATCCTGTTCAGTGCTGTCCTATTTCTCACTAGGATGCAGTTTGAAGGAATAATCCCGGTTATTCACAGAGAACGAATCAAATATTCTGAATTAAATTCAGTTGGGAGACAAAGGGGGCCAGAAGAATTCGCCTAAAATATGATGGGTAGCTAAAATTGGATGCTGCCATCTAGTATTTGAAATTATGTTTTGGCTACAATATTGCACTTATGTGGTGGTGAACACATTTAGCAGTGTTAGACTTGCTGCTGTCTATAAATGTGTAGCAGCTAACAGATTTTTTAAGTATCTCTTGTCATAGAACTGATAAAATATAACATGGGTCTTTCACTCTGAATGAATGAATTTAATTCATGTTTCAGACCAGGAGTTTGAAACGTTAAAACATTTAAATTTGAGGTTTTTAAAATATTAGAACCAAAAGTTCAAAACATTAAAAGCTGAAATTCCAAGATAAACAGCCCTTGTAATCGGCTTTATTTTTGAAACATAACAAGTCTAAAACACGTGGAGTCTAAAGCATTGTTTACAAATGATACTTGGTTAAAATCTGTGAATATAGATATTAAAATGTGTACTGTTTGGTCTGCTTTTTGACCTTTCTGGTTCAGTTATAGGAACCACCCAACTGAAAGTGTTAAAATTTTGAGGATGGTTTAGTCATCTTCTTCCTCTGGTTTAATGACCTCATCTCTAATGGCAGCTGCACATGACTTGCTTTTGTTTGTGCGGAGCTGAGCTGACGTTTTCTGAGTTTCTCTGGAAAAAAAGAAAATGCACACACGTGCAAGATTTTATTTTGACCATGACAGTTACTTAATTCCAAGGTCAGTGTATCCCTATAGTCTGTATTAATCAAGTACGCAGTTTGCTCAAGACTGTAAGAGACACAGGTGATATGGAACTGCAATGTGCAGCCTGCCTGGAAAAACAAGGCTGTTATCTCTTAATGTAAGATCATAATCCCTTATCTTTCAAATGCAGTGAGCCCAAAAAAGGTAGAAATTCCCTGTTTGGGGAGAAGGTAACAAAGTTCTTGATACTCCTCCACTTATATATGTTAGGGAAATAAATTACAGGGGTCTATATAAATCAGAACTTATGAACTTTGCTAATCAGGCCTCACCATTTTAGAATTGGCTTAAGCAAACACAGCATCTCAACCTAAAGTGTGTATATCAGGAGTCCTCAAACTTTTTAAACAGAGAGCAGGTCACAGTCTCTCAAACTGTTGGAGGGCCGGATTATAATTTGAAAAAAACATGAATGAATTCCTATGCACACTGCACATATCTTATTTGTAGTGCAAAAACACTTAAAAACAATACAATAATTAAAATGAAGAACAATTTTAACAAAAATAAACTTATTAGTATTTCAATGGGAAGTGTGGGCCTACTTTTGGCTGATGAGATGGGATTGTTGTTGTTTGTTGTTGTGTGCTTTCAAGTCGTTTCAGACTTAGGTTGACCCTGAGCAAGGGCCGGGTAAATGACCTTGGAGGGCCATATCTGGCCCTTGGGCCTTAGTTTGAGGACCCCTGGTGTATATCAACCTCACTGTTTTTGCCTATCTAGGTGAGGGGATTTGTATTAAGTAGCTGGTCAGCTCCCTTTGCTTGATAGGTCACATGTCTTGCAGGCCTTGTATGTTATCATTATGCGACAAAGACTCTTCCTTATATGTAATCTAATCCATGAATTCAAATTATGAGCCCCTTTGGCTATTGCTGAATAGCAACTTCCAGTTTTCCTTACCACTGACTATACTGGATGAGGCTTCTAGGAGTTGCCAATTGGTAAGGTCTGGAGAACCTCACAGTTTTCCAAAGGCCTTCAGATATTTTTCAAGCAGCCGTCTCCCAACCTTTCTGGACTTCCTTCAGTGCTGAGCTGGGGAAACTCCTTGAATTCACCAATTCTTGCCAGCTCTATTGCTGGCTCTGAAAGAAGGATCAACTTTTCCAACCAAGTTTTTCTTTTGCTTTTAATTTGTTTCAGAGCAGGATAGAAATGAGATTGTGTTACCTGCCATATGTTGTAGGCAATTGTATTTCCCATCATCCTTAGCCAACCTTTCTGACAAGTCTTTATTTGCCCTGGCAGGGGTTCTGTCTGATCAGAAAGCCCAGTTTCTAATAGGTCAAAATATACCTGCAAGGTTGGGAAGTTAGTATAAAAACTGCTATATAATAAAATTAAATACAGAATGAATTTACTAGTGATTATATGTTTTTAATTAATTTTTACATGGTTTTTATAATGTGCATTAAATGTTTTTAATTGTGTTTTATGACTAGTATGGCATTGAATTGTGCCAGTTGGAAGCCGCCTTAAGTCGCCTCCGGGCTGAGAAAGGCGGCATAGAAATGCAATAAATAAATACATAAATTTACTTGATTACCTGTGGGTATTGCTGCGTTGGCAGAAAGGTTTGTGTACTTTCAACTCAAGTTCAGTGCATGCTCAGACTGTGTGGTGACACACTCAGGATGATTTGGAAAGGCCGCCCTGCCTCATGACTTTTCTTGACTTTTCCTTTTGCGCTGAGTCACCTCTTCTCAAGGCAACTATAGTAGTTTCAAGTCATGTAGGACAGCTTCCATTCAGAAAGGAGGCAAACATAGACTTTGTTAAACAACGATAAAACAGGCTAAGTATGATTAATTGCTCAAGAATTTTGGAAAATTGATTAATTGATGGTGATTCTGTTGCCCATTGCCAACTTTAATTCTGTTTCCTTTTTGTTTGTTTCTACTGTTTTAACCATGCTTGTGTGAGAGATGTTATTTTTACAGTGCTGATGACTTATAAGTTATTTCTAATAGATAAATTGCTGTTTAGAATGGCAGGTGATCAGCTTTTTAGAATAATATGCACAGTGTATCACCATTACATAAGGTTTTCTTTGGATCTTTTTATCTTAGACTACTTCTCGCTGGTTCAGTTGAGAGCTGATTTCCTTTATATGTGTAGTTACGGACAGTCTCTTACTGATTTCAGTTTCTGTTTCCGCTGACTGCAATGTATTTGTGCATATTTTTCAAATATGTACATTTTAGATCCAGTTTCTACTAGTCAGTTTCTACTAGTCTAGATCTGCTGAGCCAAATGTGTTTCCCTAAATGTGTTGCCTTGCCACCATTCAATTGATCTGGTGGGTCTGAACTGGTTTTAGGGCTGTGTTGCTCATATTCACGTGTGTCCAACTAAAAATAATATTTGACAATAATGGAAAATTGAAAGAGAAATACGCAATTTGATTATAAGTGGACACTTTTAAAAAAAGAAAAAACAACCTTTCTGTTAATGTTTATTTATTTTAAATGGTTTATTTAGTCCTACAAAGAAGAGTTTTTGCTGATCTTCCAGCTGAAATGTTGATAACAACATGAGCTCATAATTTTGATTAATGGAAAACAGTATATGTGTGAGAGGGCAATGCAGTGCATGAAGAAATCCCATCCCCTTTGCATTCTCAGGTTTCATTAGTCCTGGGGAAGGAAATCCAGCTTTCAGTGGTAAAACATATTTGCTTTCTAAAAGAATGTACTGTATTTTTCAGGAAAATTCAGTTCTTTAGATGATTTCTGCTGAACAGTCAACACATCCTGTCCAGGTCTAATGTGAAGAAATGTAAAGAAACGGACAAGCTAATTTTCACTGATACTTTCACAAATGAAGTCAACCCAAATTCTTGAATCAAATACAAGTAGCCACACTAATGATTTTGATTCTGCCACATGCTTCGCCATAATCTTTTTGAAAGTCGCCTCCTGACCTGTGCCTGCACATTTATGTTAAATCCTGGTAAAATATCCCAGTTTAAATTCTTTGGACTGCAAATGAAATGGAAGCTTTAGAAGTTGATGATATCAGTCCTGCCTTGGAAGTGACTGAAGATTTCTTCAATACTTTTGATGCTAAGTTAGACAATGTGCAGCCTCCAGAGGTTTATGGGATTCAGGAAGTCCCAGAACTGGTTGGACATGAAGTGTTTAACAGCTGTGGGGACTTGAGAAATGTTGCTTCTTTGGGGCAGAATAATCGTGTTTGGGAACACTGCAAAAATGGACTCTCGGAAACCAAAGTGCAGACTGCATTTCCTGCCAAAGAACAATTTAGAGTGCAGAGGGGAACGGTTCCAGACAATCTCTCCTGGATGGAACAGAGAGAGGCCTCAACTTTTAATATCCTTAATATCTGCCGGAGAAGGGTCCGGCCCCGTTCTGTGAATGATATCACAATGCAAAGTGAGGAAGCTGCCACTTTCAAGCCAGGTCATAATCGGTCGCGGTCAGATATCACCCGGATAGACTGGAGCATCATTTTAAGCAGTGCCCCTCCACAGCAGGTCTCCAACCACAGCAACCGGTGTCCCAAGGTTTCATTTACACCAGGTTTCAAAAAGGGAGAGGATGTTCAAGGGAATTCTGGTAAGTCCTGTTCTTCTGTTGCAATTGATGCTCTCCTTTGCATTGAGTTTTTTCTTCTTCTCAGTGAATGAATTGTTTTTGTGAGGCAACACAATTGTTTTTGTGAGGCAACACAGTTTGTGCAAATCTGGAATTCTGAGCCCCAAAAGTTTACTCTTTGGGCTCAGTGAAACCAGCTTCACCATGATTTCGGAAGGTAATCCTAGGTGAGTGGCCAACTTTTGCTATCTTTAATCAGGGAAAGGAGTGTTCTCATTCTTGGAAACATCTTTATGATAGCTACTGCTCTGCTGGAAGAGGATAGTGGTGCCTGAAATCTCTTGGTCACATTTAAGTTGTTCAAATTTAGCACCAAAGAAGGTTGGTTCTTCAGTCTTTATTAATAATGCTCTTCTAAGTAGAAGAATCCAGAGATTGCTGTGTGTGATAAAAATTCTGGGTTGGATCCAGATGAAGTTCATTGAACCTGTATCTCACAGAAACCTGTGGAAGAAGTTAGCCATGACTTAACTTGAGATCCATTGATTTCAGTGGATTTCAGGTTCAAGTAACTACTTTTGATGTCACCATGAAGGTAATAGAGAAAACCAGGTCCTTTAGGCCATATTCAGGGGGAGTAAGGGCAAACCTTTTGTGAATAAATCCTGCCAAGAAAACCCCAGGATGAGATCAGGAGATGTAACAATAAGTTATAGAAGCTAGGCCAGGAGGAGTAAAGCTGACTTGAACCTTAAAAGTGACTAGCAAAGTAAGAAGGCATCTATTTTTAAACGGGGGAATGATTACTTTTAGTCTTCCAAAGTTGGGAGCAAGAACCCCTCATGCTTACCATTTCTGGCAGATGATCTGATGCAAGAAAAATGTGATCAGCTATTTATGATGAGTTATTTGGTAATGTTTGGCTGGTCAGTTTATTGATGTCCCATTACTAACGTCCCAGCCCTGCTTGTGTTCAGCAGAAAGTCTCACTCCGAATTACATGGCACCAAAGGATGCCTGTATTACAATTATAATGCTGTTTTTGAATTGAAGAATGCCCCAGCAACTTGTCTGGGTAACAAGCTACTTGTAAGTCCATGGTACAGCAAATGCTCAGGGAATGTGCCTGGCCTGTGCCTTGGCCTTCCGTGACATCATGGAGCCATTGTTTGCCATTTGGAAAAAAAGATGGAAAAACAAAAGAGGGGGAGTCTGGATATGGGTGAAGAAAATGGGAAGGAAGGTCTGATCCTGGTACCTCAAACAGCAGTCACCCCCTCCCTAATTCCTCAGCCTCTTAAAACTTTGGAATATAGATGGGCAGTGGTCACTTTCTCATTTATTCATTTATTTTATTAGTTATATTAATTTACAGTATTAATATCAAATTCTCTCTCTTAAGGGAGAAACAGTTTGTATGATCTACACAGGGTTTACAGCAGCAGAGAAAGATAAACTTATAGCAATATTCATTAGTAGTAGTACAATCATAAAATCATAGAGTTGGAAGAAACCTCATGGGCCATCCAGTCCAACCCCCTGCCGAGAAGCAGGAAAATTGCATTCAAAGCACCCCTGACAGATGGCCATCCAAGCCTCTGTTTAAAAGATTCCAAAGAAGGAGCCTCCACCACACTCTGGGGCAGAGAGTTCCACTGCTGAACAGCTCTCACAGTCAGGAAGTTCTTCCTAATGTTCAGATGGAATCTCCTTTTTTGTAGTAGTAATAGTGTGTAGTAGCAGTATTTATGCCCTGCCTTTTCTCTATCAAAGGAAATTCAAAGCAGCTAACCATAAACTTAACTCATATAAACATTAAAATAAAATTACACATAGAAATATTAAAATATATAGTTAAGGTTATACAGTATTTTCAGAGCATAATTCATGGATGGTGCTCTGAATCTGCAATTCAAGGAACAGTCTCTTCCAGATTTATATCCTGCATTGTCGAAGATGGCTGTGAAAATATAGTATGACTTATATATCCATGGGAAATAAATTCCCAGATTTAGCCAGAATCATGAATAATAGCAAACCCTATTGAATGGACAACGTTTGGGAGAAGCATAAGATTGAATTGCACTAGAAGACCTAGGAAATGCCTAGATAGGATATCTCTGTAGGCATTGCTAGGTCCTTCACAGCAACTTCATGGTCAATGTCTAATGGAAACACATCATAGAGTTTGCTGGAGGGCCTAGGAAATGCTTAGAGAGTGCATATTTTGGCGGATGTTGGTAAATGAAGCTGGGGGTGTCGGTCCTATCAGTACAGGAATCAATACCTGTGAGGGAAAAATCATTATCTGCTCTTATTTATCTTAATAAGTATAAAAAACTGTTTCAAAAGTCTAGAACCAGAATTCGGAAGACAAGTTTCCGCTATTAAACCAGGCTTCTCATTAAGTAATTATATAAAATGAACAAGTGATATTATGATTTTAAAATTGCATAGCATCATTCTGTTAAAATATAATAACAGTGTGCATTTATTTCTCCCTTCTCTTCAAACTTGAAGATCCTTCATGAGTGACTTGAAATGATTCACTTTAGGGTTTTAAATAATGAGTTCAGGCTAGGAAGTCTGCTGAAATAGAAGTATTTAAAGGAGATCCATGGTAAAGAAAAGGTTAGGAACCACTGGCTTATGTAAGCCTCTAATTGCTTCTATTCCAGTATTTGGGAGACAGTTTGGACACAAAAGGAAAGAAACATTAGTCTCTCTTAGCAACAGTTTTTGAAATACAATGTGTACGTGTACATTGAACCCATAGGTTGATAATAAGGCATAATGCGACAAGAAAGGAGATATAATCTGCAGGTAAAGAAATCTTGTAGTGCTCACAGCTGGTGTTCCTGTTTTCTGCTGTTTTCTTCTTATGGCCTTTCTTTCTTACGAAATTACAGTTCAAAAAAACATAAAGGCCACCCCAGATGTGGGCTATTTTGTGTGATTATCTCCCATTTACTGTGATGGGCTCTGCTTTGCTCTGCGTAAATTGAATTTCCTTGTTTGGTGAAAAGGAAGGGAAATGTTCTTTCCATTTTCAAGGAATGACGGAGAAAGGACTTAGTGGAAAGGCATCATGTTGTTTTTGTACATCCAACAGGTGAGGGGGCAGAAGAGGCCAGGGAGAGGAGAGGGCCAGCCAAGGATGGGGCCTTGGCATGGGGCCCTTGAAGGGCAGCTGGGATCCTGCCTGTCGATGCCAGCAACCATGGCTCCAACCTGAAGGGTGTGCAGTATTTGAATTTCAATCAAGCCGGCTGCTGTCATTGTCCCAGTTGAAGTGGGAGCGGATGAAGCCGGTTCACAGGAGCCAGAGTGAAGCGCTGGCAGAGAAAAAGCCTGGCTGTGAAAGATGGAGAGGAGAGACAGCTTTTTCTCTCATTCATCAAAAGACAAGCGAGGCTCTGTGGTAGCAGAGGGAGGAGAAAAGAGGGGAAGCCATGATGGATGGGGTAGAAAATGTGGGAGAAGCTTGAAGTGTCATCTGGGCTTGATGGAAATGAGATGGAGAGAGCGAACTTACAGTTGGGTCTCCAGTTGCCATGCTGTTTCCCTTATTGGATTAACAGAAAGGGAAGATGGCTGTAGAAAATGCACCCATTATCTGCACTACAAAGGGATTAGTGTGGTTTTCAAAGAAATTAATGGCTTTTGAGTTAGTGCAGAAATCCTAATGAATGTCAGGAACAGAGATGGAGAGCAAATAAAATGGATTTCTTCTCATGTTCTTTTGTCTCATCAACACCTCTGTCTTTTCCCTTTTCTTCATTTGTTCAATTTTGGGTTGAATTTAATTACTCTCTCCCACCTGCAATTTATTTGAATTAAACCTCCCTTCTTGTCAGGGACACTTTAGGCAGAGCTGTCTTCACATTTTGCAAGGGCGGTGATGGTGGTGGGCTAGTGCAAGGAAATAAGGAGGGCTGTTCTATAAACAGATCAACCTCATGTGCCCAATGCTTGCCACCCCAAAGGAGGAAAAACACACACTTCAAAAATATAAAAAAGCCAGAGACATGACTGATACTGTATTATCCTTATGACACCCTTTCACAGATGTATACATGGCTATCGTGTCTCCTCTCAATCTTCTTTTCTTCAGGCTGAACATACCCAGTTCTTTAAGATGCTTCTCATAGAGCTTCTCAAAGGTCTCCAGACCTTTGATCATTTTAGTTGCCCTCCTCTGGACATGTTCCAACTTGTCAATATCTATTTTGAACTGTGGTGCCCAGAACTGGACACAGTATTCCAGGTGAGGTCTAACCAAAGCCAAATAGAGAGGCACCTTGACTTCCCTTGATCTGGACACTATACTCCTTTTGATGCAGCCTAAAATCCCATTGGGCTGTTAGGGGCCACAGTGGTGCAGCGGGTTGAACCGCTAAGCTGCAGAATTTGCTGATCAGAAGGTTGGCGGTTCTAATCCACAGATGGGGTGAGCTCCCATTGTAGGCTCAGTTGCTGCCAACCTAGCACTTCGAAAACATGCAAATGTGAGTAGATCAACAAGTACCACTTCGATAAGAAGGTAACAGCGCTCCATGCAGTCATGCCGGCCACATGACCTAGGAGGTGGCAACAAACAATGCCGGCTCTTCGGCTTAGAAATGGAGATAAGCACCAACCCCCAGAGTCAGTCACGACTAGACTTAATGTCAAAGGGAAACCTTTACCTTTACTTACCACCCTGTTGACTCATGTTCAACTTGCTGTCTACGAAGACACCAAGATCTTTTTCACATGTACTGTTGTCTAGCCAGGCGTCACCTGTCCTGTATCTTTGCATTTCATTTTTTCTGCCTAAGTTTAGTATTTTACATTTGTTCTTGTTGAAATTCATTTGGTTAATTTTGGCCTGACTATGTAATCCGTTGAAGCCATTTTGAATTCTGATCCTGTCTTCTGGAGTATGAGCTATCCCTGGAATGACTTGTTTTTGAGAAATCCGTGTTGACTTTAAGTAATCACAGCCTTTCTTTCTGAGTGATTGCAGACTGCCTCCTTAATGATCTGCTCCAGAATCTTTCCTGGTATTGATGTCAGGGTGAATGGACAGTAATTGTTTGGGTCCTCTTTTTTCCCCTTCTGGAAGATAGGGACAATATTTGCCCTCCTCCAGTCTGCTGGGGCTTCTCCTGTTCTCCAAGAATTCTCAAAGATTATTGCTAGTGGTTCTGAAATGACTTCTTCTAGTTCCTTCAATACGCTTGGATGTAGTTCATCTTTGATGTAGTTCATCTCTCTGATTCTATGATTCTATGAAAACCTATAGGAAACCTTTGGTGTCCGGTGTGACACCAACACCACCCACATGGAGATAGTGAACTCATGAGGATAGAAACTCAGCTCTTTCATGTCTGCCATGCCAGAGCTAGCAAGTCCTCTGGCATGGCGATTCCCAGTCTGTCCCTATAGCTGGGGTGAGCAATTGTTTGGGGACAGAGGGCAGTTTCCCAACTGAACTGCACCCCCTTACAGAGTAAAGGAAGTATACCTCAATTTTCCTCTATAATCCCTCTCAGAAGGGGTTGCTTCTAATCACCATTTTAAGTAAGACTTCAGAGGAAATTTAGGTATTTTGAATTAATGGGAGAATATGGTGGTTTGTATATTAATGGTGTTTTCTAATTTTTCCACATGAGGAATTGTACTTTTTAAAAGAAAAATCATACCTTTTTTAAAAAGGGAGGGGGGCTTGATGAGACTGATGGGGGCTATGTTTCTTACAGTTATAGCTAGCCCTTCACATTTGCTGGGAATTTTGTGGTTCAGTGGAGATTTGAAGATGGATTATCCCTAGTTCAAGATGGATACATGTAAGCCTTACACCACATTGGCTTTCAAGGACTGTCCAGAAGCATCAGAATAAGTGGAGCATATATGCCAGCCATGTTTCTCTGTTTTTGTATTCTCATATCATCACTCACAGAATCACTCACAGAATCATATTCTCTGATTCTGTGAGTGATAGGTGATTCAAAGAAGCAAATTGCCCTGATTATATGTTTCCAGGACAGTTGCTACTTCCATGTAATTTTCTCTCACTGTATCTCTGGCAACATGGCCATTAGTCCCTTACTATTAATACTTAATGCCCATTGTTCAGGTATATGGTGAGATTGTGTCAATCATCACCACTCCTTTCAAGTTGCAATTAAGGTATTTCTCACTCTCCATAGAATCATAAGTTGGAAGAGACCACAGGGGCCATCCAGTTCAACCCCATTCTGCCATGCAGGAAAAGCACAATCAAAATACAAATGTCCACCCAACCTCTGTTTAAAAGTCTCTGAAGAGGAGCCTCCACCACACTCTGAGACAGTGAGTTGAACAGCTCTTATGGTCAGGAAGTTCTTCCTAATGTTCAGGTGGAATCTCCTTTTCTGTAATTTGAATTTATTGCTCTGAATCCTAATCTCCAGGGCCGCAGAAAATAATCCTGCTCCCTCTTTCTTATGACAGCCTTTCAGATGTTTATACATGGCTATCATGTCTCCTCTCAAACTTCTCTTCTGCAGGCTAAACATATGGTTGTCCTGCCATGCCTCCCCTTCTTTTATCCTCATAACTAACTTGTGACATTCTTGAGGCTGAGGTTGGGCTAAAATGGCTATAATGTCTCATCTCAACTTTGTCTTCTGTAGTCTAAACATACCCAGCTCTCTACACCACTCCCCATAGGGCATGCTTGATCATTTTAGTTTTTCTAAATTAGCAGATTTCGGATAGGACTTGGAATATTGTGTCCAATTCTGGGCAACACAATTGAAGGGAGATATTGACAAGCTGGAATGTGTCCAGAGGAGGGCGACTAAAATCAAGGGTCTGGAGAACAAGTCCTATGAGGAGTAGCTTAAAGAGCTGGCCATGTTTAGCCTGAAGAAGAGAAGACTGAGAGGAGATATGATAGCCATGTATAAATATGTGAGAAGAAGTCACAGGGAGGAGAGAGCAAGCTTGTTTTCTGCTTCCCTGGAGACTAGGATGCGGAACAATGGCTTCAAACTACAAGAAAGGAGATTCCATCTGAACATTAGGAAGAACTTCCTGACTGTGAGAGCCGTTCAGCAGTGGAACTCTCTGCACTGGAGTGTGTTTGAGGCTCCTTCTTTGGAAGTTTTTAAACAGAGGCTGGATGGCCATCTGTCAGGGGTGCTTTGAATGCAATGTTCCTGCTTCTTGTCAGGGGGTTGGACTGGATGGCCCATGAGGTCTCTTCCAACTCTATGATTCTATAGTCAATGAAGTAACTTAAATGAGTCTAAAGAAACTTTTTAAACTGTTCAATCCATCAGACCTTGAAGTCTGATGGATTGAACATCAAACCATGGTTTCATTAGATTCCAAATACTTGAGTAAACAAGGTTTTCACTTGGCACCAAGCTGAGGGCAGTGTTGTGTCTCCAGCGAGAGGGAATGCCATCTTCAGGGCAGTACAGCGAATTGAGCCTTTTCTGCATCTTCACATCATGGACATGTTGGTAGATCTAGGGAGAGCCACTGCCTCAAATGTTGATGCCTCATGTTTAGTTCTTTGAAAGTAGTCTCTCAGATGGAAAACCTATTATTAGTTGGGCATCTTCAAGTTGTTTCCAACTTATGGCGACTCTAAAGTGAATTTATCTCTGGGTTGTCTTGGCAAGAATTGTTCAGAAGGGATTTGTTCTTGCTTTTCCATGACGTTGAGATAACAGGACTTGTTCAAGATCATCCAATGTGTTTTTTGTGGCCAAGCAGGGGTTCAAACTCTGGTTTCTGGAATCAGTCCAAGGCTCAAGCCACTGTACCATATGGGTTCTCTACATTCATATAATGTAGTTCTATACTTGCTGCAGCTTCTAAGTTATCTTCAAAGCCAGACCCATGTAGAATGTATTGCAGCAATGTAAATAAGGTTACAAATTAAGCACTATAGAAAGAAGTCTGTAGTATTCACTGCCATATTTGTTTGAACTCTCTTTTAGAACACAAGCCAACATTCTCAAATATCTTAAAGAAAGGCTACTTGGAAATTAAGCGCAACCATGACAGCTATTGGCAGGCTTGTTATGCCGAACTTTCTCCATATGAGCTGTACCTGTTTTGGCTTGACAGCAGTGGCAACCAGACCCTTCCGACTGTCTATCTACTTTTGCATTTCCAAAGTATCACTGTGGAAACCAGTATCGTTGATGCAGTTCTGTTCAACAACTTCCATCTACAGCTCAAGGCAGAATCGCCATGGGAGGCCTTGGATTGGGGTCAGAAGCTTCGAGAAGCAGTGCATTCTTCAGTACCATCTTTCCTGAGGCAACAAGGAGACTTGAGGAACTCACACAAGTTAGACAATGAGGAAAACAGCATTGCCCCAAACCACCTCTTACAGAAAGAGCCAGCTGAATTTTTCCAGTCAACATCTGTGACGGAAAACATCAAGGACTACCAAAACGTTCTCAAATCAGGGACTCTTTACAGACTGACCCTTCAAAATAACTGGAAAGCATTCCATTTTGTCCTCAGCCCATCCCTCCTCATGGCTTTTCAAATTGGCGGCCCCGATGAAGACCCGCTATGGAGCTACAATACTGAAGTGTGCCTCTCCGTCCAGACAGATGTTCTAGATGACTGTGACTCTTGTTTTCAGGTAATCTTTCCCCAAGATGTGCTCCGCCTGCGTGCAGAGACCCGGCAAAGAGCTCAGGAATGGATGGAGGCCTTGAAGGCTGCCACCAGTGCAGCCAGCTTGGGTCAAAACGTTCAGGTAACACTGAGGAACAAAGTCCAAAGCTTATCTTGTGGGAAGGACCATCAGAAGATCAAGCGCCAGTCTGTCACCACGAGCTTTCTCAGCATCTTAACCACCTTGTCTCTGGAAAGAGGTCTGACTGCCCAGAGTTTCAAGTGTGCAGGTAAGCAAACAAATCCAAGACATTTTGTACTTGTTCTCATTCTTTTTACTCATTATGTATCTTTCCAGGTTATGAGGGCTCTCTACTGCGTTCTGCATCAGTGACTGTTGCAATTACTAGAACTTGGCTCTCATTCACTGCGTGTCCTGACCTGGTTCATGAACACATGAGCCAAGTGTCCTTCCTAGGGAGAAAATGGGAAATGGATTAATGCCACCAGATCTAACTTTTCTTCCATCTCTTGGCAAGCTCTTACAAATGGTTCAGTGTGTTTGGCTTACTTGCAACCACAGTAGCATCCAGCATCCAGTACACTGTCCAGTTATAGCTGAACTTATGAACTTTTTATTTAGTTTTGTCCACTGTTATGAATCCAGAGAGTGAAGTGTGAGCAAACCGGGAGAGTAGCAGGTTTCCTCATAGTGGGGGAAAAACCATGGAAAGACTTACTTAGCCACTAGAGGTAGATTTGATCTCTTTTTTAACTTGGTCTTTCTGCACAATAGGACTGAAGAATGATTGCTAGGGTACACTTAGATTCCCCTTTTCTACTTCCTGTTGACAGTGACTCCCAGAACTATCAAATTGGTAGGTCTTTTCTCTGGATTTCTTTTGTTAGATGACTTACATTTAAAACAAGATTTGAAGTCACTTAGCTGTATCATTTTGTGATTGTGGACGCCCCCCCCCCCAAAAAAAATTCAAAGGCTGTTGTAACAGTTGTTCCGAAGCAAAAAGCACTTACTTCTCTATCACCAGCAAGGTTTGAAATCCAACTGCCTTGATTCAGAAACCGAATACACAAAATGGCAGAATAGATTTCCCCTTGCACACATCCCAAGATGTGGTGGGGTTGAGAGACAGGGCCTTCTCAGTGGTGGTCCCTTGGCTATGGAACTCCCTCCCCAGCAACATTAGGTCAGCCCCCTCCCTCCTAACCTTCAGAAGAAAAGTAAAAGCTTGGCTCTGTGATCAGGCTTTCGGAAAATAGTGCAGGGCAATAAAAGATTTGGAATATGTGCAATAAAAGATTTGGAATATGCGCAATCACTATGGAACGACTTGGACTATGATTATAGATGGCACGGAATTTAATGTTTTTAAAAGTTTAATATGTATTAATTCAATTTTAATCTTAATTTTTAATATTTCGGAATTGTATGTGTTTTAAGGCATTGAATAATTGCCTCTATTTAAGCCACCTTGAGTCCCCTTCAGGGTCGAGAAAGACGAGGTATAAATAGGGTTAATAAATAAATAAATCTGTTCCAGAAGTTGTGGAGAGCTTTTGGAACAGATGATGCAAGCTGTGAAGGAGTACAAAAGGGGGGACGGGACGGGGACAACAGGAATATTATGTTATATGAGCCGAGGCCTACTTCTATTATGTTGTATGTAACTTTACCATTGTATTGATTAGGCATAAAGAGAGCCCCCAAGAGTAACATGTGCCTACTAGCAAAAGAAAGCTGGAAATGAGAGGAACAGAACATGAAAGGGGCCAGCACCAATTTCATGTTCCTCATTTAATCTTCATTGAAAGATATGGTTGTCTTCCCTTAAATTGTAGATTGAGGTGAATCTTTAAAGAAGCCTGAGGGTTTGAATAAGGATTTGGTGTGGATCGCAGATAGAAATTTGGAAGGAGAGTTATCCTAATAAAAGAATGCACTTGCTTGCTGCTACCCAGGGATGCAACAAGTAGTCATTTCAGCAGGGGGCAGTATCAGTAAATTCACCGTTATATCGAGGACAAGAAACCTTTCCAAAATAGTTTAAAGAACAATGATCAATTATTTATTTCCTTTATATTCCACCATTCGTTTTGTCAATGTAAAAGTGCATTCAAGCCCTGCAAGACCAACTAAACTTCACTTCTTTAACTAAAGAGTCATTTTAGATGTGTTGGTTTTGTACTTAGTAAATGTCTCCGTTCTCAATTGCATTCTCATTCTGTCTGCTTTCTCTACCTGATTGCATTTTCCCCCAGCACAAACTCATTTTACATTAACTAAAGGACATTTTTTCACAAGTAACCATCTTTTGTGCGTGTTTTTCTTTAAAGCGCACCACACTGTATGAGTTTTCAGGACATTCCATTCTTTGGCAATCTTTGGAAATCTAGCAATGTAAATCTTATCACATTTCTTTCCCATGCTTAGCTATATATTTTTGCAAATGTTGAGATACATACACACACACCACATATACACACACACAGGGTTCTGATAGGGATTGGGTCCATGCCTTAGTCACCTCCAGATTGGACTACTGCAATGCACTCTACATTGGGGCTACCCTTGAAAACGGCCCAGAAATTTCAATTGGTTCAAGGTGCGGTGGCCAGGTTGTTAACTGGCGCTCCTTACAGGGAGCGGTCAACCCTCCTGTTTAAGGAGCTCCATTGGCTGCCGTTTATTTTCTGGTCCCAATTCAAGGTGCAGGTGCTTACCTAAAAAGCCCTAAACGGTTTGGGACCCGTCTACCTGCGTGACCGCATCTCTGTGTACGAACCCACACAATCACTTCGATCATCTGGAGAGGCCCTGCTCACGCTCCCACTTCCATCGCAAGCGCGATTAGTGGGGACGAGGGAGAGGGCCTTCTCGGTGGTGGCCCCTCGACTCTGAAACTCACTCCCCAAGGACATCAGGCATGCCCCAACTCTGGCAGTCTTTAGGAGGAGCCTGAAAAGGTGGTTGTTTCAGTGTGCCTTCCCAGAATAAGGAAGCTCCCAGCAATATGTCCCTAAACGCACTTTATTAGTGATCTAGGATTGTCTGCACATTTCATCCCCCTCTAAAATTTCTATCCTAGTTATACGTCACCTGGTCATGCCCAGCATTATTTTTAAAATTTAATTATTACATTTGGCCCAGCCATAGGTTTTAAACGTCGCCGTGTTATTGTTAATGTTTATTGCTTATTTTCTGCTTATCAGTTTATTTATTGTTTTGTATTACTGTTGCTATTGTTTTTATTGTTGTATTGTGGGCTCGGCCTCATGTAAGCCACACCGAGTCCCTTGGGGAGATGGTAGCGGGGTACAAAAAAAGTTTTTTCTATTATTATTATTAGTTTTCTAGTGAGTAATCTTTTTTTTTCACTTTTAAGAAAGCATGTCCATTTGAGTCTTCCCTTGGAAAACACCACCAGCATTTGATGAAGATTAGGTATGTTAGTATGCTCTAACAAAAAAGCACTCGCATTCGTCTTTTGATTTTGTGAATCTGACAAAGTGAGTGCTAGGCTCTACGCAGGTTCATGATTCAATGCATGTATTATACCAGCAATGCAATTTTTGTCTACTCAAAAGTAGTCTGGCCTAGTCAGTGGGCCTTTTTGTAGCACCATGTAGTTATGCTAAGTATTACTTGCTCCCAGGTAGTAAGCTGCGTATGAGCATATTACCTTTGGCTGAAAGGTAGTATGCTCATACGCAGCCATTCCTACAAAAACTCTGTCCCAGATGGGATCTTGGAATATTACCATGAAATGCTTGTGAAAGTTTTCCCAGCTCCTGGCACATTGGCCACGTTAAAGTACCGTACATGTCCCTGATTGTCCCCATATTTGCACCGATGTACTTGAGATGGATTTAAGTATTCATGTGCAACAGAGACCTTCCTGCATCAACCTGGATTCTCCTGGTTTGTTGGATTTCAGCCCTCACCATTTCCAAGTAATTGGGGATGGTGGAAGCTGTAATCTAACACATGCAAAAGGCTCCCAGTAAGAGGAGAGGGCCCCCCGGTGGTGCAGTGGGTTAAAGCACTGAGCTGCTGAGCTTGTTGACCAAAAGGTCACAGGTTCGATTCCAGGGAGCGGCGTGAGCTTCTGCTGTCAGCCCTAGCTTCTGCCAACCTAGCAGTTCGAAAACATGCAAATGTGAGTAGATCAATAGGTACCGCTCCGGCAGAAAGGTAACGGCGCTCCATGCGGTCATGCTGGCCACATGACCTTGGAGGTGTCTACGGACAACGCTGGCTCTTCGGCTTAGAAATGGAGATGAGCACCACACCCCAGAGTCAGACATGACTGGACTTAATGTCAGGGGACAACCTTTACCTTTACCTAAGAGGAGACTGTCCTATATACACTTGGTCAGAGTTTTGTTGGGTACCATATTGTAGTTCCATGTCAACTGACTCTGTTGTGGCAAAAGTGAAAGGCAGTAGTTCAACCTGGAAATAAATATAAAACTTTAAATTCATTTTAAAGTAAAGTCAGATTTCAATTGAACGGTATGTTTTGATCTTGCAATGAGGAGCCCCTGGTGGTGTAGAGGGTTAAAACCCTGTGCCAGCAGGACTGAAGACCCACAGGTCGCAGGTTCGAATCTGGGGAGAGTGTGGATGAGCTCCCTCTGTCAGCTCCAGCTTCTCATGCGGGGACATGAGAGAAGCCTCCCACAAGGATGGTAAAAGATCAAAACATCCTGCCGTCCCCTGGGCAATGTCCTTGCAGACAGCCAATTCTCTCACACCAGAAGCAACTTGCAGTTTCTCAAGTCACTCCTGACACGACCAAAAAAATAATAATCTTGCAATGAAAAGAGCCCAACATTGCTCTCAGTCAAATCCCCATAAGGAAGTTGTGCTGCTGCCAGGATGCCACATCAGACAGGGTCCTGCTCCTATATCCCACAGCATTGTATTAAATTATTTTAAAACATTATGAACTGTTTTAAGTTATCAAATGCATTAATATACTTTTAATCTGCCATGTTTGGTCTGTACTGTTTTATGTTGCTTCAGTGGATTAGAGTTTTATTGTTTACCATCCAGAGATACATGATATAGAGAAAGATACCAGGTGTTATAGGCTATATTTCAGAGGAAGGACCAGGAAAACCACTTCTGAGTATTCTTAGCCTAAGAAAGCCCTATGATATTCATGAGATAAGCATAACATACTCTTTGTCATTACATTATAGCTCTTTATCTATGACAGCAAAACTGGGTCTGTGTGTCAGAAGGTCTCCATTTCCCTTTGTCTAT